GAAGCATGTTTACTCTATGACGAATAGTTAGATAATAAATCTCTCAAATAGAAACCGAGTTTATATAACTAGTAGCCGAGCTCCTTAGGTTCGGAGCCTAGCTCCTTGGGCTCGGAGCCAGCTCCTTAGGCTCGGAGCCGAGCTCCTTAGGTTCGGAGCCAGCTCCTTAGGCTCGGAGCCAGCTCCTTAGGCTCGGAGCCAGCTCCTTAGGCTCGGAGTCAGCTCCTTAGGCTCGGAGCCGAGCTCCTTAGGTTCGGAGCCTAGCTCCTTGGGCTCGGAGCCAGCTCCTTAGGCTCGGAGCCGAGCTCCTTAGGTTTGGAGCCAACTCCTTAGGCTCGGAGCCAGCTCCTTAGGTTCGGAGCCGAGCTCCTTGGGCTCGGAGCCAGCTCCTTAGGCTCGGAGTCAGCTCCGAGCTCCAACAAGCCATTTCTTGAATTGTTGGGCACGTCCGAGCCTGATCAACAACAAGCACTACTGGAAACAGCAACCGCAGGGCAAGTAAACTGCCTGTGTCTCTGTGTAGAAAACGTTATGAAAAGAAAATATTTAATGTCGAAGCATGTAATGAAGAAACTCCGACCTTACAAACATGAAATGCTTAGGTTGGTAGATGAAAAAAACGGATACTCGTTCAACATGGTGAAGGTTTCCTTGGACTATTACTAGGTCCTATTTTTGAAAGCCTGGCTAAACTTGTATAAAAGCCCTGTGACTACAAATTATACAATCATTTCAACAATGAACATCGAGAGTAAAATATCTCCGCGACATTGGCGCATTGAAGATATACTTTTGTATCTGAACAATAATGCAAAAAAACTACAGCAGAAAAAATGCTACATTCTATTCTTATATCAAGTGATATTTTAACTTGGAATCCTCAGGGTGAGATTGTTTATCATGGAAGAGACATTCCTGGTACTAACATCGAGAACTTTTTACAATACGCACCTTTACCATACAACTCTCACATTCCTGAACCACGAGGGCTCGACCTGTTCACAAAAGGTCTAGTAGAAGCAGGGGTTAATAAAGATTTAATTAAAAATGAGTATTTATTGTCAAAAATGGCAAAGGAGGAACATGAAATGCCACAATCGGAGAGTGATGTTGAAAGAGAATCTGGTGAAGAGAACAGGGAATCTGAAAAGAGTGATAATGAAAGCGAATATGATGATAATGAGGATGATGATAATGAGGATGATGGTGAGCCTGAGAAACTAGCTTGTAACCATTGTGGAGAAGAGACTGGTCACATTGTATACTTAATGAAGTGCCCAAGATGTTCGTGGAAAGATTTCTACTGGGGCAAAGACGCTCAATGTATGATATATGATGAACAGTCACCTCTACTGTTTTCGCATGTCATTGGTTTCTGCGAGCTATGTTCGTATAGTACGTCTAACAGCAAGGCGGGCGGATTGGAGTTCACAAATAAAAGACCCAGCAGATTGGACCGAACGTGACCCAGCGCGAATGACTCCGGAAGCAAGAGAGGATTATGAACGTTTTATATTGAGCGATAGACCGAAATATATTCCAATGAAGCCGGCAAAACTTGCAAAGTTATCCCCAGAAGAAAGACAAGAATATGAGAACTCTTTAAAAATAACAAAAACACCTAGACGTTACGCTCTTAGAAGTAGACCTTACTAAATTTTGTAAAACATTTTGAAGAAGTAAATGTATTCTAAAACTGAAATATTGAAGAAGAAGAAGAAGAAGAAGAAGAAGAATTTATTCGCATCAGTCAAAAATACATAATTACAAATTTTTTCCACACATTATTAAAACAGAGTTGGCACAGGATATCTGAAATAGCTTTAACACTAATCGAAGTCAGATAACCTTATTAAAGTATTCGAGCCACTGTGGGTCAACATTGGGTTTAAGGTCATGGTGCACAATGATTATACAGATGCAAATTAAAATTTATAGACATATGCAAAAACAAAAGCAAGCATAAAGCCAGTAATCATTAATTATAAATTTGATTTTAGTTAATTTGAAAGCAAATGAAAACAGAAATAAGAATAAAGATAAAGCTAGTATTCATTAATAAATTTGATTCTAATTTTTTTTTGAAGACGACTGATTTAGTTAGTATTTTGAAGCTATCATCTATATCATTCCAAATATAGGATTCCAAATAACTAATTGTTGTTGTTAGTCTAGTACTGTACTTGTGTTTATCACTAACGAAAACATTTACCTGCAAAGCCAGCTCTTTCCGCCCGCGCGAAAAGATCCGTGTACAAATATGTTGTACTTTAATATATGCATGTACCCGCAAAGCCACGCGCCTGATTTTAAGGTATACACCTGCGTTAAAAAATAATCCCTATCTATCCATCGGGATACACTTAGTTATGCAAATTCGTATTACCTTAATCCCCTTAATTACCTACACGCCTCCTAATGACTTAGCAACGCATAACAACGCAACGTTTGCAAAGTTTAAAACATGTTTATTGATACAAATAACAGTCGATAGTGTCAAAAAATATTACAACTGTTCTAATTCTAACTTCTACTCTTGATAAGCTTTCTTATGATCATCTTAACAGTATATATGTATGTAGGAGGATTGCTAAATAATCTTGAACAACATGCAAATATTGACCATAACAACGACGTTGACAACTCGGGATTAGGAACTGTTTAGTTTAAAATATGTTTTGATTTTTGTGACGAATAGATTCCTCGCTATGGAACATAAAAAAAAAATCCTTCAATACACATGTGGAAATTTATCTCTTCCGAACAAAGATACGGCTATAACTCTGCTATATATTAATTTCAATTTTGTTTTAGTTTTATTTCTATGAAGTAGTTCATTGATTGTTCGCCATGTCATTTTTATGTCATTTTTATGTCAGTTTTGTGTTTTATAAATTGTTTCTCATAATAAGCTTCTTTTCTGCTTTGATTAAGTGATTCAATTTGTTTTGGTATTTTTTATATTTCAGTTCAATTTTGTAGGATGGCTTTTTCAAAGAGTTTCTATAATGTTGGTTTTTCTTGGATATAGATTTCAAAATACCACCTGTCATCCCGGGACTTTTTGTATGGTCAATAGCTTTTCGTTTCATTTTTACTAAGGGGAAACTCTTATCAATTGCTACTTTTAAGCTATTATGAAAGTTATTATAGGATTCACATGCATAATTTGTTTGATAAGTACTTTCCCAAGAAATATTTTTGACAGAAACTAAAAACGAAGCAAGACTATCTTTGTCGACTGTTCTATTGTAGTGTGAATTATTTATTTTTTCTGAAACATCAGTATTTGATGACAAAGATGCTAAATGAAACATAGGAAGATGATCCGAAATAACTGAGAAAATTAGTCCATTTATGCTAGATTCCAATTGATCTAAATCGTTACTAAATATGTTATCAGTTAAAGTTGATGTATGTTGGGTAATCCTAGTTGGTCTATTTATAAGCGGAAAGAAAGAAGATGTAAAAAGTTGCTCGCAAAATGTGTTTGAGTATTCGCAAACATCAGATTTCAAAAGGTCAATGTTAAAATCTCCAGTCAAGTAAGTTATTTTGTTCGTTTTATCAACCTTAGTTAAAATTTCATTAAACTTGTTTTCAAAAATTTCAAAATTGCCACTTGATGGTCTATAGATAGTACCGACAATAATATTTTTACTTGTTGCTGAGATTATTTCTATGAAAAGTGATTCAATAATTCCTTCTTCGTGCATATTAAGATCAGTTCGTATATTGTAGTTTAAATTATTCGAAACATAAAGTCCTACTCCACCACCTTTTCTCTTTGCTCTTTTGGAACTAACAAAATTGTAATTATTAAGGTTGAAGTTTATACAGGTGTGATCATTAAGCCAGGTTTCCGTTAAACTTATTATAGAGAAAGGGTGTTTTAAAGTACTCAATAGATTTTTAAAGGAATCGAACTTGTTTACTATACTTCTTATGTTAAGATTCAGTATAGATATATATTTATTATCATTAGTATGATTTGAGGGCGAGTTAAAATCGTTTGGTAGGTAATAATCGCATGTTAAACTATCAAAATTTTCAGGCATATAGCTCTCATAATTTGGACAGTTTGAAATTCTGTAGTTGGTATCAAAAGGGTTAAATTTGACTTATGTTAGTCTATCCATATCCTCATCGCTAGGAATTCGATTGAAATCACCAAGAATAAAATTCAATTCTAAATCGTCAATTGAGTAAAAGGGAAGCGCGCAACTTAAACACATGTTGCAGATATCAACTTCCGTTTGTTGACATGCAAGGGGTGATTTTACGCATGAAGTGCGTGCGTGAAACCAACCCCCGCATGTAAGACAATTTATACTTTTATGATTTTTACTTATTTCAAGAAAACAAGAAAAACATTTTTTCTTACCTAATGATAGATTAGCCATATCGACTTATAGATAAGTAGTAAAATAGTAGGAGTAATATACAGAGATTGATAATAATGACATTTAACAGGAAGGTTTGAGCTCAACATTGGTTAAATATAAGCTGTCTCGAACCAACCGAACTCCGCGGTGACCTTGCGCTTTGGCCTTCTTCATTTCCGGGTATAAAGTCTGTCTAATTTTTTCGATCTCTTCGGGAAATTGCTCTGAAATTCCAATACGCGAACCTTTTAGTTTTCTCGCATTTTGTCTGACTTATTCACGGTCTTGGAAATAGTTGAATTTAATAATAATAATAATAATAATAATAATAATGATTTAATCAATAAGATCCACGAGGTGACTCTTCCCCTATTGAAACTACAAACAAAATTTTTTAGCTAAGAGTAAATATATATACAAACTTAGGTAATATAGAAAATGAATATTTAGATAAAATGTTAGTGCATATTTACATTATATGAGACTTTAGTACAGCCTTAACTTTTGTACAGAATTGACTTTAGTCGTATATAGATCTAATGTCAGATGGTTGGCTATTGAACAGTTCGGATGAAATGTCTTGGAAGGTACCCTTTTCCATGGGCCTAACCAAATTTAAGCTGGTACTCGAGCGTAGGCTGCGAGCTGGTTTATATAGTTCAACTGCAGCATACTTCGGCCAGTTCTGTGAATAAATTGCTTTATGGTGGCTTTGAGTAGGTTGAAATCTTTACATTCACGCATCGGCAGCCAGTTAAGCTTTAATAGAGTTTCCGCAGAGTTCACATTTTTTCCGGTAACAAAACTAGCTGCCGAAAACTGGATCATTTGCAGCCTACTTAAAAGGTAGTCGGGGAGAGGGTTAAAAACAAGATCACCGTGGTCCATCTTGAACAAAATAAGCTGTTCGGCCAACTGCTTTCGTAAATAAAATGGAGTAAAGTTCTTTATTTTCTTAAGAGTGACCAAGGTGCTGTAGCAAGTCGAGGACAATTGTTTAATATGATCATTCCAAGTAAGGTTTTCGGTAATGTGCAAACCAAGCAGTTTTGTGACGCGTCTTCGCTCTAATAATTTACCATCAACCGCCAGACTGATCTCATGCAAATGTAGTGAGGGAGTACTTGCCATCTGCTGAGTTGAAAAAACCATACATTTGGTTTTTCCTGCATTGAGTGCTAAATTAGAATCATAAGACCAGTCTGACAAGAGCAGTGTTCATCTCTGCCTCGCACGGTCTATGCTTTCGTTGGCTAACACGTTTCCTTCCGACACGGTGGAACGAGCGATCTTTACCTTGTTTCTTGCGTCAAAAATCTCTAGATTTTGTTCTAGGATATCATAAATCTTCTCCGTTGTGTTTTCTTTTTCGTCTTCCTTTACGTTAAAGAAAAGCAGATTATCACGCATAGATCGCGCTTTAAGGTCGACAACGCTTTCTTGTAGCCGACGGTTTGTATCATCTAACTCGCGGATTTCCCTTTTATTTTCCTCATCAGACCGCTTCGTTTTCTCGACTTCATTTTTCATATGGTTAATTTCGGCGTGAACGAATTCAATCGAATCTTTCATCTGTTTTACATCTTTCTCAACGCATAGAATGCGCTCCTTGATTTCGTCTAGAGTTTCCAATTTCACCATCATGGATTTCATCATTTTAAATATTTTGTCCAATTTATTCATATCTTGCTCTTTTTTATCGTTTTTTTTTGCTACATTCGTTTGTATTATCATCTTTTCTATTTTTACTCATTTTTGCCTTATCACTGGACGAAATTTGGGTAGATTTTGGCTCTTTTTTTTTCGCTGTCTTTCAAAGTTTGTTGTCTTGTCAACATGATATAGATATGATATTTGTGTGATCCATGCGTTTTCTTGCAATCATTTGTTTTGTTTTACTCTTTAATGTTTTGAATTTTTCAAATTCGATAGGTGATTGAGTTATAATGGCCTTCTTTCTTTGACGTGGTTTCTTTCGAATAAGTAACAACCATTCCGTAGCAATACATGATTGATTAGCCACGCAGCTCTTTATACATTTCGGTATATGTTCATTGACATCAGATAAAAACAAATCACATCAAGTGTTAAGTGAGTCATTATTGTCGTTCGTTACAAATGCCAATCCAATTAGCTCTTTTAAAGTTGTGATCATGTTTTAAATGGCTTAAAAAACTATCTTATGAGTTCATTGGCGGAGTAATATTAAGGTTACAGGACACCTTTTTTGGCGTTTTGCGGAAAATCGATACTGCGCACTCAATATCAGTCCGATTTTCATCAAATTTTCACCAAATGTTCTCCAGTGCATGCAAAATATGGTAAAGTTGTAAAATTAACAAACAATAAAATAATGTAAGAATTATTCAGGAAAATCTTAAATCGCGGTACCGTTACGCTTTTGAGTTATGCTCCTGCTGTTTTTAAGTTATATTTATGAAAATATCATTTTTATACAGTAAAATAGTTGTTCTAAAAAATTGTGTTCGCAAATTTTTGTTTATTTCGTCATTCCGCTGATATGGCGATTTCTTTGACGACTGCAATATATTTCTGAATTGTACCAGTGAATTGCTCTTTATTTTTAAAATATCCAAAATTACAAAATAGCCGAAAACAATTTTGAAACTGACGTCTTTAGCTATGTCCTGTGAAAATTTGAGAAAAAATGGTTAAAACCCGCAGGAGCACAACTCGTTTGAAAATCAGTAATTACCGTAAACTTTTTATGGAGAAAATTGAATTTGAATATTACATTTTCAATGTTTTTCTTATTGCAGCGGAATGTATTTTATTAAATAACTCTGCGAGTTTTCAACATTGTTCGTTCAAACTTGGTCAGATAGTAGAACTAGTCTAATGCTTTCATGGAAAGCAATAAAATTGGGCAAAATTAACACGCAAAGGTGTTCTGCAACCTTAAAACTAAACCTTAATCTGTAAGGCGAGAAAATCAAAGCTAAAGTTTATGTAAATGAACATGATTTTTTATCTAACTTTGTTTTACGATGAATCTTCAAAGTGGGTTGGATTTTTAAAATTTTGTGGTCAATATTGAGGATATCATCACAACCCTCGAAATTTAATATTTTATCTGGGGTATTAAGAAGGACTGGATCGAGAAAGTTATCGTTTCTTGTTGCAAAGTTAACCAAGAGCCATAAAAAATAATCATGAACCATCTTGGAAAAATAATTATGAATTACTTCACTGGTTGTAGTTAAGCCATGCAGTAAGCAGTCCATGTGAGGTAGATTGAAGTCTCCACATTGATAATGATTTGATGAAACATGGCTTCCGAAATAAGCTGTGGGGACTTTTTAAATTATTTCGGATAACTGAGATCAGAATTGGGAGTTCTATAAAAAACGACAGCTAAAACCTTTTTGTTCCTGGGTCTCAATTCAAAAGCGAGCATTTCAACGCTTGTTTCAAGATCTTTCCTTCGACAACTTGGAAGGCTGTCTCGCACAGCGATGAAAATACTACCACCAACTGTACAAGGTCTATTGAAATTACAAAATCATATCCCGGCAAGATTTCACAATCCAGAATATTGGGTTTAAGCCATGACGTCTCTGCAATACACATAATGTCTGAGTCTACGGCACGGCAAATGTTTGCAGTTCGTTTGTTTGATTGACTTCGCTGAGGGCTTTCAATTAAATATATCAAAGATTATAACAGTTACCGTTATGTTGTAGTGGTCCAGGAATCAGATGGATACGGACCAAATACATCTTCTCCAAATGGAATTCAGCTGTGTTGTCGTTGTAGGCTAATACCCAATTCGTTGTTTGAAATAGCCATGTCAATGTTGACGAATTTCTACAAATTTTTGGTTGATTTAAGCCGTGTCCTTGTATTGCCAAGAAGTTTATGAGTTTCAGCCGTACCATAGCAGTAATATTGCACTCATTTAGAGAGGTCTGCATGGTACAGACAAAATGCAACAATACACAAAATTTGTGGAGCATATTAGCAATACACCGCCAAATTGCTCAGGTAACAACAGCAGTCAGTGTTTATGACACTTGTTAATTTTACATAGCAATGTTTTCCAATTCCAATGTTTTGCCAGAAAAAAGAAATCAAACCTAAAATTGTTACCTACTTTTTCTCTATTTAGCCCTATTTTTTCCGTATTTTTTCAAAAATGTGACTATTTTATTACTATTTACCAAATTTTATAAAATAGCCTATGACTATTTACATATGACTATTTACACTCTATTTAAAATATAGGTTATTTATATATAAAAAAAACAATAGCTTTGAAATAGGTATTCAAATCCTATTTGAAAGAGTAATTGACGGAATCTCGCTTTAAAATAGTTTTTAAATAGCTATTTAATTCCTACTGTTGACAAACGACTCAGTTGAAATAGTTTTAAATAGCTAGTTTTAAACTATTTTTGCTTCTCTTCTTTGGAGCCATTCTTAAAATAGTTATTAAATAGCAAAATATATAGAACTTAACTTATATAGAAATTTACTATCTTCATTTGTGAATTTTGAGCATGTGTTGCGGTTAAAAATTTCAATTTGCTGCGTCAATATTCCAACTAAAACGATGATATAAATACATTAGTTTTATAGAAAGACTTACATTTGACTAAGCCTTTATATTGAATTATGTTTATTGTAATGCCAAATTGTATACTTTAATCTTTGTGTATTTATAGTGTATATCACAGATTCCAGTGTTTCTTGTATAAAATAATATAACTTGGCATCTACTCAATTATCATATGCCTACCCAGGCATATCGCAGCTAAACATGGTTTGAGAAAATTTATCGACCGGTTTCAAATCAACTGGTACTTTCATAAGTTGCTAATATTTATTCATATATAGTTGGGTCAGTTTAGATTAGCTAAAAATATCAATTTGATGTGTCGTTGTCATGTGTGGCAACTTGATTATAGACATGCCCCTAACTAGAAACAGTTAAAGTCCTTAGTTTACTTGTTCAAATTTATGAATACATTTAGTTACACCACAGGTCTGCATGACCTGCTTAATAATATATGTAACAACCTTTGGGCTACATTTTATATATTTTAGAGACACCCCGGCAAGGGTTTGATTGTTTTTGGAATTACCCATTTCACTCCAATTAATGAGCCCAATTTTCAGCACTTTGTTATTAAATGTTATCTTGCCTAATGCCGGACAATTTTATTCATGAAGGGAAGTGTCTAGCAAGAGTGCTAGACTCTGCCCATGTTTCATGTTGACATATTTAGATCAATTAGATGCAATTTTCCTAAAATTTCCTACTTAAGTACTTTGATATTATTATTTAATTCTGACATTTCATGGTGGAAATTTTACTTAGCGACTGTGGCATGCTCTCCCAGATCTCACCTATTAACATCTATAAAGGAGCAATTTCCTCTTACGTTACTTACTTGAAGTTCTTTGTAGGAGTGTGCAGGATAGAATGTTTTTGCTATCCAGCTGCATACAGAATAAATGTTGGATAGTTGAAAAATATCTAGCTGGATTCAGGGTATTATTCAAATATATAAATGTTTTTTTCTAACCTGTAAAGAAGGCCTGAACCTAACTGCTGCCGAACTTCACCTTACTCTTGATGTTACATGGAAGTCTTTGTTTTTTCTTCCCAGTCCGGAGCCAAATTACTGTATGTATATAATTAATTCTTTGGCTACTATAAAGACTGCTAACTTTGTCTACTCTATTGAATATCTGGGTAAAAGACTACATATTTTTAATTCATTTATTGGCAGTGCTCTACCCACTGACAAGTAAAATTGCCTGGCATTTATAGACGGTAAATACTAAAGTTGGGTTGTAATAGCCTGTGATGTTTCAGCACTTCTACACTAATGTTCTTAATTTCTTTTACCAATTATATTTTATTTAAAGACTATTTATACCACATGTTTTAAATTTTTATTATCTATGTTTTAACTATTTATAATATATTTAACCCTATACTGTAAATCTGGGAGTGTTGCCACAACACCAAAATCGGTGTAAATTCTTGCCTCTGTGGGGACACCGAAAAGGTGTCAGTTAACACTGATTTCAGTGTTATTTTACACCTCTTCAGTGTAAATAGTTGTGTCTGTATGAACACCCATTTGGTGTTAATTTGCACCATTCTAGGTTATTTGATGCTGCTTTGGTGTAAATCCGCTTGCCTCTGTGGGGACACCAATTTGGTGTTTATTTACGCTGAGAGGGTAAACTTACACTTTCCTAGGTTATTTAACGCTGCTTTGGTGTAAATCCGCTTGCCTCTGTGGGGACACCAATTTGGTGATTGTTTACACTGAGAGAGTAAATTTACACTATCCTAGGTTACTTAACACTGCTTTGGTGTAAATCCGTTTGCCTCTGTGGGGACACCAATTTGGTGTTTATTTACACTGAGAGGGTAAACTTACACTGTCCTAGGTTATTTAACGCTGCTTTGGTGTAAATCCGCTTGCCTCTGTGGGGACACCAATTTGGTGTTTGTTTACACTGAGAGAGTAAACTTACACTGCCATAGGTTATCTAGCACTTCTTTGGTGTAAATCTACATTCCTCTGTGGCGACACCAAATTGGTGTAAAGTTACACCTCGAAAGTAAACTTACACTTCCTAAGGTTTAAATATGCTTGCAGTGCAAAGCTTACTTTCTAGCGTTCAATGTAATGTAATTATATTATACCAATGTAGTAACAGTTAAAAATAAATTTATTACAAATTTAAACTAT